TGTTCTATTCAGCTCTGTTCTTTTCCACAGGAATGCTTGAAAGTCCCCTATTTCACTGAATGACCATTTTTTACTGTGAAGGATTATACTCAGCTTTGCTGGGTAGGTGATTCTAGGTTGTAGTCCTAACTCCTTTGCCCTCCGGAATATCATACTCCATGCCCTCCGGACCCTTAATGTAGAAGCTGCTAAATCTTGTGTTATCCTGATTGTGTGTCCACAGTACTTGAACTGTTTCCTTCTGGCTGCTAGCAATATCTTCTCCTTGACCTGGGAATTCTGGAATTTGGCTACAACATTCCTAGGAGTTTCCTTTGGGGATCTCTTTCAGGAGGTGATTGGTGGATTCTTTCAATTTCTATTTTGCCCTCTGGTTCTAAAATATCAGGGCAGTTTTCCCTTATCGTTTCTTGACAGATGATGTCTAGGCTCGTTTTTTGATCATGGCTTTCAGATAGTCCAATAATTTTTAAGTTCTCTCTCCTGGATTTATTTTTCTTTGTTGGTTGTTTTTCCAATGACATATTTCACATTCTCTTCTATTTTTTCATTCCTTTTGATTAGTGTTACCGTGCTTTGATTTCTCAAATTGTCCCTCTCTTCCAATTTCCCCATTCTAATTTTTAAGGAAGTATTTTCTTCAGTAAGCTTTTGGACTTCCTTTTCCATTTGGCCAATTTTGCTTTTGAGGGCATTCTTCTCCTCATTGGCTTTTTGTAACTCTTTTGCCATTTAGGTTAGGCTATTTTTTAAGGTGTTATTTTCTTCAGTATTTTTTGGGTCTCCTTTAGCATCACTGTCAGTTTCCCTCTACTTCTCTTACTTGCTTCTCAGAATCCTTTTTGGGCTCTTCCGTGGCCTAGGACCAATTCATGTTTTTCTGGGAGGCTTTGGATGTAGGAGCTTTGGCTTCGTTATCTTCCTTTGGTTGTATGTTTTGATCTTCTTTGTCATCAAAGTAAGATAATATAATCTGACTCTTTTTGTGCTGCTTGCTCATGATCCCGGCCAATTACTTGAGTTATAAACTCATTGTTAAGGTAGGAGTCTGTTTCCAGTGTGGAGAATGTACTGTCCCAAGCTTCAGGGGTTTTGTGCAGCTGTTTTTGAGATACGTCTAGGGACCTGTAAATTTTCAGTTCTTCCAAGGTGCTATGATCAAGGGAAAGGTGTTTACTCCTTTCCTGGCCTGTGCTCTGGTCTATGAGCACTCTTTTCTGTCTTGGAACTGTGATGAGGGTTTCTTCTTCACAGTCACTACTAGCTTCACCATGCCAGTGCTCCTCCTTGCCCCAGGACTGCCACCCAGAACTGTGACCCATATCCAGGCATAGGCAAAGCAAGAGAATACTGCATCAGCAAAGAGATCCCTGCAGTCCCCCTCAGCCAATTGATTCCCCCTCAGTCTGTGGGCCAGAAGCTCAGAAAGTAGCTGCCGCCCCAAGGAATGGGGCTGGGACCCCACGCTCCTCTCTTACCACCATAGAAACAAATTTTTCCCACTGACCTTTTAAGTTGTCTTTGACATTCCTGGGTTAAGAAGTCTGGAAACTGCCACAGCTGCCTGCGATTCAGTCCTCTGAGGCCTGTTCCAGGTTCACTGTGGCCTGTGTGCCCACGCTGAACTGCGCTCCTCTCCCAGCCCGCGATACACCTTTGCAATCAACCATCCAGGCTGTCTTTGGCTGGAAATTTGTTTCACTCTGTCTTTTTGTGGGTTCTGCTGCTTTAGAATTTGTTTAGAGCCATTTTTTATAGGTATTTGGAGGGGTTTGGGGGAGAGCTCAAGCAAGTCACTGCTTTTACTCCGCCATCTTGGCTCTACCCACCACACAATTTTTTCTTTCACCTCAATTTTCAGTTATAATCAATGAGTTTCCCCAACATTTTGAAGGAAATAAAGATTGGTAGGAATTTATAATTATATAAAGAAAAGTTGGTATGTCAGATTTTCATAAATTATAACCTAAACTTATATAGTTTTTTTAAAAACACTCATTTAGTCAGACTACATTCCAAAATATTTTACTGTGGCTTTAATAACATAATTCCATTGGTAAAAATAGGCGAATCAGTTTTGAGGTGTTTCATGGAGTAAATACTTGTCAATTTACTCTAATAATTATGGAAAGAATGGGGGAGAAAATGAATTTTTTTCTAGAAGGGGCAGTTAATTTTATTTTCTAAGAAACTTTAGTTTTTTTTTAAACTTTTTTTCAGTTAAAGAACACATTTCATTATACACATAATTGCTATAAACAAACCACTTGTCATATTTTGAATATATGGACATCTCAAAATCAGAATATGTAGGTGATAACATGCACCTGGTAATTTCTAAAACCTACATTTTGTGAGGTTTGGCCAAAGATTTAGCTAATCTTTGAGTTTAAAAAGAACAAGAGAAGATTTCAAATCACTATGGCAGTAGATTCTGGGCAGAAAAATAATAATATTCCTACTTGAAAAATTAAACCATTATTACCTAAAGAATACAAGCTAATTTTTATTTTCACACAGGTGAGTAGATATCAATAGCCAAGTTAAAAACACTGACCATTGTTCTTCACATGGCAAAATAATTAGCAAACTCTTGGAAGCATTTTATATTATTTTGTGTGGAAAGTGAACGGGTTGGTCATAATACACCCTTCATTAATGCAGTTACTTCCTATGAGTAAATGAAACTATGTTTACCTTTGAATTTCACACATTTTATTTAACCATCAAGCTTCCAAGACTAAGTAAAAATATTCCTGTCCCTATAATTAGGTGAAATTTAAGAGAAGAAAACATAAAGTATAAGCAGTCCTAAATCACAATTTATTTTTTCCTAGTACTTGATTTTTATATGTATATTTCTCTACATATGTAAAAATCAGCTGTTCTGTTGACTCATTCACTCATACATAGGCATATCTTTCTTCTTGGCTTCTCCATATCCTCCCCCATCCCTGAATGTTAAGGAACTTTCAAAAATAAAAAGAAATGACACTTTTCTTTTCACATTTCATTATAGTCTTTATTATTATTATTATTATAGTTATGCCAGTCATTTCTCCATAATACTTCTCTCTTCCCCCAGTCACACACTCCATTGTAACACAGGAAACCAGTTAGCAAAATTAGAAGACATGTATGTACTGTATTCCAGGAATGTACTAAAGTCCCCATTTCTCTAAATTGAACTGAGAAATAAATACGTCATCTTCAGTTTTTTGAAACTGAGATTGTTCAATTAGTGCTCAGCTGCCTTTTAGTATCATTCTTATTCACAATTTTTTTGGGGCATTGTATTTAATATTTTCCTGGTTTTGCTTCACTCAGCATCCATTTATACAATTCTTCCCCACACAGTTCTGAATTCCTCATATGCATAATTTTTTAGGACATACTAATATTTCATTACATCAGTTCAGCCACTTCTTAATTAATGAGCATCCACTTGTTCACTAGTGTTTTGCTACCACAAAAACTGCTGCTATAAATATTTTGTTGCATATGGAATCATTCCTTCTGTCTTTGACTTTCTTGGTACATATGATCAGCACCAGAATCACTGGGCCCAAAGCATATAAACAGTTTAGTTGCTTTTTTTTCCCCATATAATTCCAAGTTTTCCAGAAAGTTTCCACTAATAATGTATTAGTGGAGCTTTCTTCCCAGAGCCCGTACAGTGCGTAACTCAACTTAAGAAACGACAAGAGAAAACTTCAAATAAACAAAGACTTTTAAAAGGTATTTGTAAGAGAGCTTTTTTATTTTGGCTTTGACAGACTATTTAAAAAAAAAAAGTTAATTGAGCTATGTCCTATGTTGGCAAGGATTTATTTATTCTGCTGAGCCATAATCTTATTTATTTTGAATGCTCAATTATTCATGAATGGGATATTCCTTCCAGCAGAGAAGTACAGATTATAATCCATCTAAGTCTACCTATGTTACGTGCTTCTTATGCATGTTGATTTTGAATGACCCCTCCCCCCCCAACGCTGATCTATGGTAGAGTGTTATTTTCCATGCCTGGGAGTCAGGGTATACTACAACCTCTGAAGAATCATGTGTGATTCCCAGAGGACAGTGAAAAGGCTTATGATCGCCATGAGCAGGCCGCAATAATTTAGAAACGAGGAATTAAGAAGAGCCAAGGTAATGGAATAAGAGACATATATGAGAGAAAAAAGAAGATGGGCCACTCATACGGGAAGGACACGTGATAACAGATAGCCTATGTTCTTCACTGTTACCCTTGGATATTGGGAGAATGCACGGCCTTCCCCCTACCTTCCAGCATTTTGAGAGGAAATGGATTAGTGCACATGGATGGGTTACATGGTATTTCATACAAGGGCATTTCCCCCATTGAACAGATTAATTTGATTACATATAGGGTTGATTAGCCTCTATTGTGATTGGCTATCCTACATTCATTTGTTTGTGTAACATAACTAATTCAGCTTATTATAAACATTTAATAGTTTATGTTACTGAAAACGGATAATTAGTCTTCTTCATTTCCTGTAAGTTACCTTTACATTCATGATTTTAAAAATGTTGTACTGTAATTCCAAAAGACTGATGAAGAAAAATGCTATCCACTTCCAGAGAAGGAATCTGGATGCAGATTAAAGCATACTGTTTTTTACTTGTTTTGTGATTTTTGGGAGGAAAGGGTGTCTTTGTTTTCTTTCACAACATGACTGATAAGGAAATATGTTTTACATGATGGCAAATGTATAATCTAAATCTATATATATAATTTGCCTTCTCAGTGAGGAGGGAGAGAATGTGGAACTCACAATTTAAAAAAAAAAGAATGTTAAAATTGTTTTAACTGGAAAAAAATAAATATTTTTGAACTCAAAAATTCTGCGCTGGATACATTATTGTTGATTTACTTTGTCATTGTGAACATTGTGAACCTTAGTTACTTTTGATATTTATTAATAATTAATTCTGATCTTCTGACCTCTCTTGTCTCTTTTTCTTATTCTCTTTAGTTCCATGCTATGGACACATTATACAGACACAGCTATGATTTGAGCAGTGCAATTAGTGTTCTGGTACCACTTGGAGGACCTGTTTTATGTAGAGATGAAATGGAAGAATGGTCTGCTTCTGAAGCTAGCCTGTTTGAAGAGGCTTTGGAGAAATATGGAAAAGACTTCAATGATATACGTCAGGACTTTGTAAGTAGAAAATTGCAGGGCCTTTTTTATGATTAAAAGTCGTGGTGTGAGCACTGCATTTCACATGTGAGTATTTTTAAAGCATTTATCTACAAAGCTCATGTTTTAACTGTTATCTTTCAGCTATGCTATGAAAATTAGTCTATCAGGATGTGAATAACAGTTTGATTATGTCTCTTATCTAAAGTAGTTATGCCCATTTTAAGGGAATGACTGCTTTAATAATAAATAAGACTAGGAGTCTGGAGGTCCTTGAGTTCTAATACTAGTTTCAATATAGATTCTCTGTGTGCCTTTGAGCAAAGTCTTAAACTTAGTACCTCCTAATTATCCAGCTATAAAAATTAGGATATGACTCGACTTTCTTCATATTTTCTGTATTGTAATATCTTTCAGCTGTTCAGTCATGTGAATTTTATCTCATGATTAATACATCATAGTATTATTCTGATAGTTTGATAGCATGGCTGTTCTGATACATCATCTCATTTAGAGTCATACTGTCAGAGAATTTTTAGCTAGAATGGATCTTAGGAAGGTGTCATTTAGTCCATCCCCTCATTTCACATATGAGGAAGCAGACTCAGGGGTGAGGAAACTGCAGCCTCAAGGCCACATGTGGCCTTCTACGTCCTTGGGTGCAGCTTTTTGACTGAGTCCAAGTTTTACAGAACAAGTCCTTTTATTAAGGGGATTGTTCTGTGAAGTTTGGATTCAGTCAAAGGGCTGCACTTGAGGACCTAGAGGGCCACATGTGGCCTTGAGGCCTCAGGTCCCCTCCCTACCTCCAGAATTCATGTAGGTACTTGTGTGACTCTTTCTGCTGTTCTTTAGGTATAGCAACTACTGCCTTATAAAATTTTGACATTTTGTGCTGCTATATTTTAAACTGTTACTTAGAAACCAGAGGTTCTCATTTGAGACTTAGAAGAAGCTTCCACCTTCTTTCTCTCTATCGCTTTGGCCTCTTCCGTTCGGTGGATTGCCTGTAAGCGCAGGCTGTGGTGTAAAGATGGCTAAGTCTAAGAACCATACCACCCATAACCAATCACGAAAATGGCACAGAAATGGCATCAAGAAACCTAGGTCACAGAGATAGGAGTCTCTGAAAGGGGTTGACCCCAAGTTTCTAAGAAATATGCACTTTGCCAAGAAACACAACAAGAAGGGGCTGAAGAAGATGCAGGCCAACAACGCCAAAGCCATCAAAGCACGAGCAGAGGCCATCAAGGCCCTGAGCACCAAGGCCTCCAAGGCCAAGCTTCTCAGGCCCAAGATTCCCAAGGCCAGTGCCCTGCGTGCTGGCCATAAGATAGCCACCAAGCATCCAGGCCCTAGAGTCGCCATCAAACGGCCAGGCTCCAGGATCACAAAGCCTGACTCTGACGTTGCCAGAACCACTGACCCCAAGGCTGCCAAGTCTGCCGCCAAGGTCAGTAAGTCTGATGCCAAGGCTACCAAATCTGGCCCCAAACCCAGCAAATCTGACGCCAGGGTCACCAAGTCCGATCCCAAGGCAGCCAAGTCTGATTCTAAGGCCACAAAGCCCAGTGATTCCAAGGCTGCTAAGCCTGCTGAGTCCAAACCCAAAATGCTGGGGCTAAAGATGCTAGTCCCAAGCCTTCAAAAGAGATGCTTTAGGACAGAAGGACTTGTTGAAACCCTAAACTACCAGTTTTTCCCAGTCAGGGTATGATTATTCTATTCACTATTTTGTACAAATAAAGAAAATGGTGAGTCATTAAAAAAAAAAAAGCTTCCAAGAGTAGCCTATCAGTTTTATTTCAGTTGTTTAAAACTGAACTATATTTTCAATTTACATATTATTGTATATTCAATGTGATTTTTCTGGAGGGACAGTGACTACATTGTTTCTTGACCATATATACTGCCTCTGCAATCACAAAAAATAATTCCCATGTTCATATACTACTTACCCCCAAGAGGCACTTCCATAAGAGGTAGAGCTACTATACATTTTTAGCAAGAGACTAGTTGTGATAATTCTTTTCTTACGAAGTTAATCTAAAATGTCATTAATAATGAGGAAAAAAAGAGAAACCTTCCTATTGTAGTGAAATTGAAATTCATTAAATAACATGGGTATACTTATAATTTTAACTTGCTAATTACTCCTCCAGTTAGTTTCTCACTGGTCAGTCTCTCAGCTGTATACTCTCTCTGTGAGTTTAGTACCTCTCTCATGTTTGATAATCATCTCTTCCCTTTCGCATCTGTCTATCTTCTTATCTTTTGAAACATAGTTAATCCTTTTTCTAGATTAAAAGTCCTGACAATAATGAGACAACATACAAAAATTTGTGGGAGGCAGAGGAAATTTTATATCTCTAAATGCTTATATCAGTAAAATAGAGAAAGAGCAGATTTAAGCATGCAACTGAAAAAGATAGAAAAAACAAATTAAAAATTCCCAATTAAACACCAAATTAGAAATCCTGAAAATGAAAGGAGAGATTAATAAAATTGAAAGTAAGAAAACTATTGAGCTGATAAATAAAACTAAAAGCTGGTTTTTATGAAAAAACCCAACAAAATAGATAAACCTTTGGTTAATTTGATTAGATTAAAAATCCTTCTCTTGTATAAACAAATAGTAGATTCAGATTCAGTCCTAGTTAGTGTATTTTGCCCACATGGTGTTTATATATGTGTACATTGGGAACAAATTCATAGGTGGTTGAGCATCTTGACTTTGTAGGTATCTATCAAAATTTTAAGCTACTTGAGAAGCTTGGAACTCTACCCTGGTGACTGGTGGGGGAGGGCTGTGCTGTTCTCATGTATCCACAAACTTTGCTGCTTTTCCTTTTTTTTCTTTTTTCAATTCCCCCTTTGTGTGTATTTGAGAGTTTAATTTAGTACTTTTTGGAGCAGATTCATGAACACTTTTAGGAGTACTTGCCTTCTTTCAGGGGAATATAAACTTGTTGCCATTGCACTTATCATTTTTTCATCTATTTGTGTATACTCACAAATGTGTGCAATTGTCAGTAGGAAAGTGAAAAGAAGTTACTATTAAAATGCTTGAAATCATGAAAGTTAAATGTACAAATATTGAGAATTAACTGTATATTAATTGCGTGTAGAATAAAGTCTAATTTCCTCAACCATAGTTACTATTAAAATGCTTCAAATCATGTAAGTTAAATGTGCATTTATTGAGGATTTATGTGAATTGCATACAGAATAAAGTCTGATTTCCTGAACCATTAAAAACTCTCCATGATCTGCCTTCAGCCTTCTTTTTTAGCTTTATGATGCTACTTTCTGAATACTATTTCACATAACTCTACATACCAGGTAGATAACTAAGATTACTCTTAGTTTTACGTGAAAGAAACTTAACTAGAGATGTGAAAGAAACAAGCTGTCACAAATGGTATTTGCAGTAGTTCAGCAAATAGCTACTTATCCAGTGTGAGGTAAGGCTGGAAAACTAGGTTGGAGCCAGCTTATGAAAGTTTATAGATGGCAGACTGGTGAGTTCATACTTTATTCTAGACGCAATGAGGAACCACTCAAGATTTTTGAACAGGGCAGTGATGTGGTTAACTCTCTGCCTTAGGAAGGTTATTTTGATCACCATGTACAGGATGAATAGCAGTGAGAAGAGAACAAAGCAGGGGAACAATCATGAAGATATCGCCATAGTCCAGAGGCAAGGCCTGGACTAGGTGGCGGCTATGGGGATGCAGAGAAGGACTGATACAATTTGGAAACTGATTGGATTTGGTTAAGGCGAAAGATTATAGGATCATAGATTTAGAGTTGGGAAGGCACTTTAAAGATCATCTAGTTCAACCCCCTTATTTTACATGTACACATATGTATATATACATATGGATATGTGTGGATGAAGAGAAGTTAAGACACTTGATCAAGATCATATTGATGTTGTTCAGTTGTTTTCAGTTGTACCTGACTCTTCATGGACCCCATTTAGGATTCTCTTGGCAAAGATACCGGTTTGTCATTTCCTTCTTCATTTTACAGGTGAGGAAACTGAGGCAAAAAGGGTTAAGTGACTTGCCCAGGGTCATGCAGCCGGTAAGCGTTTGAGGCCAGATTTGAACGCACAAAGAAGAGTCATCCTGACTTCAGGCCCCAGCACTCTACCCCTTGTGCCACTTAGAGGCCCTGATGCTAAGTAGCAGAGCTACAATATGAAAATGACTTCAAAGTTACAAACCTTGTTGGCTCTAGTGAAGGCAAGGAGACTTCAAAAGAAATATACAAATTTAGCAGAGAGGAAGATAACCGATTATATTTTGTACTTGATGTCTTTGTGATGCAGATGTGACAACTATGAGTAGATGCCCATAACGTAGTCTTGAATGACGCAGGATTGGAATTCAGGAGAGAAATTAGGTCTGTATCTATAGCTTTAAGAATCATCTGCATAGAGGCAGCTAGGTGATGCAGTGAATAGATCACTGGCCCTGAGTTTAAATCTGGCCTCAGACACTTAGGAACTGTGGGACCCTGGGCAAGTCAATTAACTCGATTGCCTCTCCCCCCTCCCCCACATACACACAAAAAAGTATCATTTGCATAGAGATGGTTCTTGAGCCCATAGTTACTGATAAACGTGACCAAGGAAGAGAGTATCAAGATGAAAAGGGCCTATGACAGAAAACCCACCTTAAAGCACCTCAAGATTATGATTCAGCAGAAGAAATTTCAGTAGTGTTCAGATTGTGAGGGTTTAAATAGTGTGAGGGAAATTATGGAAGGAGAAAGAATCCAAGAATGGAGGAGGTTAGTGTCTAAAACATGGAAGCATATAGAAGTTGTTGTGGGAAACTCCCACAGGAGGTTAGGAGAGGGTGACCTTAGCAAAGGGAGAGTCTGCTTCTTTCTCAGAGAATGAAATAAAACCTCTACCATGTATGAAGGGGAGAAAAGTTGAAAGGATGATTTCCATGTTCATTTGTTATAGTTAATGCAACATTGAGATAAGGCTGGTGGATTGAGGGCCC